TATTTTTTTCTTGAGAAATAAGATGAGCGTTGAATCTTTTAAAATATGTATTTAAGTTAAAAAAAAAGAATTCACCTGAAAATTATCAATCATAGTATCATCTGAAAAGAAAATTATTTCATGTTCCTGATAATGTAAGTTTAAATTTAATTCAATATGAAATAAAATGTAACAACTTTTTTTAGAACAGTCATGCTCTGTTGAACGATTCTAACCATCTTAAATCATACAGAAACAAATGTCAATTGGTGTATTCTATATGGAATGAATGTCATTAAACAAGTGTGAGTTTTTTTGCTTCTTTTTCATTACACATTGTCTTTTACGACGAATATTTGATGGCTGTTATGTGCACTCCTTCTCGTAGAGTGCTTATTTGATAAGAATTATAAAAAATGAAAAAAAAAGAGAAGATAAACACAGACAGCCATGGAAGATAAAGGTTTGACATGCTGCAAAAGTAAAATACGAATCATTCAAAAAACAAAACAAACTAACGGTGTAAGACGCAAAAAAATTCTATCAACAGCAACACATCATCAAAATTATCCAGAACGTTTCGGCTTCAATTATTTGACTGTGGTGAGTAAAATATTAGAAACATTCGAGAAGCAAAATAAATTGTTTTGAATATTGTATAGTTAGCGTCAAGACGCTGCCGAATATCGAAAGCGATGTAGACAGATATAACATTGACATCGATTTGTCGAATCGATGTTAGTTATCAGTTCGGTTAATTCACTAGTTTGCAGTTGTCTCCTGTTTTTTTTTAATCTTTTCGTTTATTTCGATTCTATGATGTTATCTATATCTAACATGATTGGTCTGTCTCTTTTTTTTTTGTCCTATGATATTTATCAATTTCAATTATTAAAGATATAAGAAACGACAATCTATATAATGTAACAACTAACTTAATGAGATCACGTACAAAAAAGAAGATGAAAACAATGGTAAACTTTGGGTGTAGATAAGAGTAACAGTGAAAAAGCTTTCAATCGAAAACTAATCTGTAAAAATGACGGTCAAAACCCGTAAATCAGAGAACGACACGAGATCATAAAGACGAAAGGTTTTCAACCATAGCAAAATCTGTAAGAGTGAGGGCAGAAAGCTTCTCTTCAGCTCAAATACGTAGCAGAATCAGAGAAACAACCTTCACCACTGGCAGTAATGTAAAATATCAAGGACTAATCTCTTCGAGCCACAGGGCAATGCGTCAAACTGTTGACGAAATAGCTTCGTCCCGAACAGTTATAAGTGAAACTCAGATCGAAAAACCTTGGGTTATATGGTTGTAGTGGAAATCTTAGGGCCAAAGAGCAATTCATAGAAATGAGCCCATAAAACTTCGGACAATAGAGAAATCTATCAGGATAAAAGTTGGAAACTTCAAATAGTATGCAAATCGCTGAGAGTCTTCAGAGAAAAAAAATTCAGCTCGAACACATACGAATAATGGTAACAAATAATGGTACGAAAAGAGAAAGAGAGCCTAAAAACGACCCATCAAAATGTGTTTGTGATGTGAAGCATCTAAAATTCTGAAAAAAGTTTCGGAAAAAACAATTATATTTTGAATGAAATTTATGTTAAGAAAACCAATATTAAATTAGGCAACAAAGAATTAATAGATAAAGAAATAGGATGCATTTAGTATGGAATAAATTTCTATCATATTAACAATTCAATATAAAAAGAAAATTCTATTACTTTGATAGTGCCATGAGAAGATATTTCCTCATAAGTATTGAAGCTAACTTTACGCATATTGTCGAGCTTTAAATTTATAGAAGACCAAATAAAGCAGTGTAATAAAAGTCTAATATTCTTGAAAAGTTGATTTTTATCAAGAAACAAATACGATCGACGTTGCAGAAACAATACTATAGAAGTTACCGTTTATTACTTTTCAGATATCTATCATTTTAATACTTCGTGAAGAATTTTCTTTCTGTTAAAAATGGCCACAGGAGGTGAAGAAGAAACAACAGCTTTGCGTATATTACGCATTACAGATATTGTTCACGAGCCCCTTGAATTTATCGCACCTATTAGTGGCTATGAAGAAATGCCACTTGTTCCACTTGAAATAGCTGTTGAACCACTCATTTCTATTCTACCAGCTATTCAAAGTCGCGCATATATTGCCAAACAAAGATGTGAGAATCCTGCCGATGGATTGACACAAGATGAATCCGCCTCAATTATGCTATATACAATGAGTTGGAAACCACTCGATAAATGTTTATATTTTGTTTTAAATGATACATTACGATCATCAGATCGACAACAAAAGCTCGAACCATGGTATTTATTTCTAAGACTCTTCCTTAATGCACTCAATCGTCTTCCATCACTTCATAAAATTGCATACAGAGATGTTAAATTAGACCTAAGCAAACGCTATATCAAAGGAAAAACAATCGTCTGGTGTGGTTTCTCATCGTGCACAACAACTGTTAGTATTCTAAATTCGAAATCATTTTTGAGAACGACAGATGACAGAACAATATTTACCCTACAATGTCAATCAGCCAGAGATATTCGCAAGCATTCATATTTTCCAACTGAAGACGAAGTACTTCTTATGGCTGCAACTCAATTCAAAGTAGTCAGTTGTCTTAATCAAGGTGATCTTCATATTATTCAATTGGAAGAAACTCGTCCTCCATTTCCACTCTTACAACCAGTACCTATTGTTGTTCCCTCACGTAAGTGAAAATCAAAACAAAAGAACATATCACTTGATATACAACACTTCTACTTTCGATACCATAAAGAAAATCAAAAATTATATACATATATATATCTCAACCAATATAGGTATCATAAAATATGAGCACAAAGAATCATTAGCTTAAGTTGATTCATTTTCAAAATCAATGAAAATTTCTCAAACAAGTTTCGTCTCTTAAAATTGATTAAAAGAAAACGATAATCGCTTGGAACATTTTCTTCAGGATATAATGTCTTTTCTTATTCTAAAATTTTCAGTTTTTTTCTTTTTTCATTTTCTATGTTGGATAGGTTAATTCAACCGTGGTTCCAACGGGTTAGAGCAGCAGTGGGGAGAGCATTGACCAAAGTTGAAGAAAGATGTAGTCAAATGCAATAGTGTTTCGATGCCATCGAAATTGAGTGAACGTAGTGCAAATTTTTCCTTCAGTTAAGAATCAACAAAAATGCTTTTGTTTTCGACCGACTTTTGCTTAAAAATTACACTTTCATATAAGTTAATAAATTCACTCTTCCCATGTCACAAAAATCGGATCACTGTTAGCAGTAAGCCACGATTTACCGGTAAAAATCACCGGTTAACTGGTAATGCGCCGATGGTATCACGGTTTTCATTATATGGATACAGTTTGCTTTTTCTTTCCAACATAGGCTTTTCTTGACGCAAAAATTCAAATAGACTAAATTTCCAATTAACCGAATTACAGTATGATCCTAGATTGCGATCAATATAATTTCTTCTGATTTTATTTATATTTTTATCCAATGAGAATTATAGACTGTGCTTCATTAGTTTATGCACCAAAGACCTGTTTCCGAAACTACAATTTTTCAGGATGTTTTTTTAAAGGTATGAATAGGCCTGAAACTGATGTTCTCCTACGCCAATCGATGAGTTTTATAAAACAATCTTAAAAGTGTAAAATCCCATTCTAATCTTGAATTATAAGCATTCTATCCAAGTAGAATGTCTCACTTTTATATCAATCTCTTCTCTCCTGGCATTCCGAATAAAAACGGCTTAGAACTATGAGAATTGGTGTTTGACTCAGTTAAATGACAGATCGAAATAAAATCACCTGTTTCACAACAAAGAGACACTCTCTCATTCAATGTGAAAAATCGTACTCGAGTACTTAAGAGGAGTATGTCGAGATACAAGAAGTTTGAA